AAGATTTGTATACATACAAGACGAGAAATCAAGCAACTTAAATTAATTTGAACCTAAAAATACTTGATCTAAAAAATAATTAATCACAAAAATATGGTAATAATCAAACAAGACTATTAAAATCTATTATGAACTTTCGTTCATACATTATAGTTAGTACATCTATTATCTATATATACACAATGGAAAGAAAAAATCTCATCTTTTAATAGTTGTTAGATAAATAATAGATAAAAATATAATATAAATATATCTACAAATAAACGGGGCGGGTACGGGGCGGGTAATGGGGCGGGCATGTATAAAACCGTAACCGCCCCATTACCCGTAAAAAGAAAACGGGGATTCCCCGCCCCGTACCCGTTACCCGGTCAATGCGGTTTTCCCCATTTTGACCAGGGCGGTTCGGTGCGGGTATCCATCGGTTCGGTCACAATTGACATCTCTACCTAGCAGTAGTGGAGTATGACCACGGTGACTACATATATGTGTAAATTATACGGCACAATTATACCGCACACTCGATTGTAGAGTACTCAGAGCCCGTTTGGTAACACTAAAATTGGCTGAATTGGCTGATTCTGCTGAAATTTATGAAGTTCTGGCTGAAGTGGCTGTATTGGTTGATTCTGCTGATTCATGAAAAAATTATATTTAAAATATCTGTTATTAATAAATTAAATAAAAAATTATATGAAAAAATAGCTAAAATGATTCTCTACAGTAACTTCAGCCAATACAGCCAGAAAAGTAACTCCAACCTTACTTTTTCTGCTTATTACAAACTTCAGCGCACGAAATCAAAAGTTACGTGTTTGGTGAAAAAGCTGGCTGATAAGCCTGATAAGACGAAAAAAGGGTTACCAAACGGGCTCTCAGTACTCACCATACAACCAATATTTTTAGGGAGAATTATGAAATAAGTTCTCGAATTTTCATAAAAAGTGCAAATAAGCCTTTTATAGATGATTCTGTATGGCCGTTGTCATTTGGGCGGTTTCCGGTGGATTTTTTAATGAACTTTTTTGATAATCTTTTTTATTAAGTCTAGTTTACTCATACTAAATTTCAGCTAAAAAATTCAATCGAGAAGACAGTCAAATGAATTTTTGAAGATAACTGCGCAGTTAGACAGCGCAGTATATTTCATAAAATCATTTGACTGTCATTTCGATTGAATTTTTAGCTTAAATTTAGTATGACTAAACTAGACTTAATGAAGAAGATGCTCAAAAAGTTTCATCAAAAAAGTTCACTGGAAACCGCCCAAATGGATACAGCCGGACAAAGACTGCTGTAAAAGGGCTTATTTGCATTTTTTATGAAAATTCGAACGCTTACTTGACAGTTCTCCCAATATTTTTATAATTAATAGTAACTCTGATGGCAAAGGATAGATGTCAATCATGTCATGTTCTCTTGTTACTCTTTTCCTACGTGCTCTGACTCGCTGCTCCCATAAATATAGGTTATTCCTTCTCCCCAGCTTCGCTCTTACATTTGGTGATCGCTGCAAGAAATTTTCCTGCGTAGATGGTATTTCTTACGACATAAAATTAATTGAGAAAACTGAGTCTTGAGGCAAAATTTTGAAATTGATTCTAGTAATATTTTCTTTACTTGCAAATCATATAGTTTGTTGGTGTTTGATGTGTGTGTGTGTTTTATATTTTGATTTGTGTTGTTGTGGATTTGTGATTTTTTTGCATGGATTCATATTACTTTGATTCTGGTGTTAACTAAAGTGAAGATGTTCTTTGTACAAGAGAACCTCTTGCTATCAGGCCGAGTATTGTTTACATTGTCTCACATGTTTGTGTTTTTATTGAAATTTTAGATATTTAGTTGTTTTCTTCTTCTTTGTTTTTGTTCATTTGAACATTCTTCTACTTTGGAGCACATAGAACAATCTCATGAGATTGTTTGTGTTGAAACTATATTAGTTAAGAAACCTGAATTTTCTAAGCTGACGGGTAAAGAAGTATCTTCGGAGAAAGAGACATTTGAGTTGTATCATGAATACATTTATATTTTATAGGTTTGGTTTTGGAGTTCAGTATTTTACTTTGAGAAAGAGAGGTAGTGGTTATGATTTTAGACAAAGGGACTTTTTGTTTTAGTATGCAAGGTTTGAAAAGGAATAAAGTTGTTATTGGTAAGCAATACATAAAAGTAAGGTCTCACCTTTTCATTTTTCGACTGAGCTAAACTACTACTTGTATCATTTGAAAAATAGAGTAAGATAACAAATGCTTTTCGATGTTTGTAAGCAGAAACTGATGGTTTTCTTTTCGCTGGTTTTCTTTTGTGTGATACATTGATTAATATTTTTAAGAACAAACAGTCAAAAAAGAAGATTTTTCTTTTCTTTTGAGATTGATACAGATGTTTGTTCAGTTACCCTTTTTTTCGAGATACAAAAAAATGAAAGAAGATTAATTAGCTTTTGATGAATTGGTTATTTATGATATCACTTGTCGCACAATCAAGTACCCAAAAAAGCATGTATTTGTAACTATAGAAATTTCCTAAGATATGACTAAAACTCGATGAGTTTCCCGATCTATGACCTAATTAGTTTTTATACCTTTGTATGACCGAAAATCCCAAAAAAAAAAAGAAAATTCGTTTATATTTAAAGGTTTAATGACGAAAATACCCTTATTTAAATTATGTGCATTTTGCACTAATTTCGTCTAATTAAAATTACTGCATTTTATATATTGCCCTTACTGCACAAAATTAATGCATGACTTTACTGCACATCCTATAATAATCATTGCACTTCTGCTAAAATTAATTCTCTTCTCATTCACTTGAGGAATTTCTTTTATAGATTTAATCATTTTATTATTTTACGTCAAATTAAGTATATTGCATTTCATGACAGCATTATTACTCTGTCTCACTGCCTTACCGGTCTTTATCACTGCACAATAAACTTGTTCAATGCATTTATTCAGTGCCATGTATAATACTCCATATTATTTATTTACTGCCCATAGCCCCATACACAACAAAAAACCTGCCTTACTGCCCACTGCCCATAACCCCATACACAAGATTTATTGCCTTAATGCTCACTGCCCATAGCCCCATACACAAGATTTATTGACATGTTCATTTTCAATGCCCAACCAACAACTGTTCACGAAGGAGGAAGAACGACCAACACATTTTCTTCCAAGATTACCGGTTCTTCCCAAAACAGCCAACAAACGCCACCATCTTCGAATATCCGTGAATACCAACAACGCCGAATCAGCGGCATTCACTTGCACCGGTCTCTCCCTCTCACCGAGTTCTTCGTCTTCGTCAAAAACCCATCCTAAATTCGACCCCATACCCATTAATCAACGTCAAATACATCACACAAATTTGGGGCTATCTTTGGACAGTGGGAAATCATAGACAAGAAGTCAACCGCCATCAACACCTTGGCACACAGGTCGGGCGATTGTGCTCCCAAGCCATACATCGATCTTTGGAAGGCGACGGTTGTGCTCCTAGGCCAGATATTTGTGGAAGGCGGTGGCGCTGGGTAGTGGCCGGCGGCTCGGCAGTGGCGCTTGGCAGTGGCCGACGGCTTGGCGGTGGTCATAGACTCGACGGGGGCGGCTGTGTGGGTGGGCGGCGAAGGTTATACGTGAGCGGCTGAAACTAGGGTTGGAGAAAAAGGTATAGAAGATTAGGATTTTATAGTATAACCTAAAGGGTATATTTGTCCCTAAAAATTATTTATTATTTAATTATTTCGAATTTTAATTAAATATTTCGAATTTTAATAATATTCTAGGAAAAAAACTAGTTAGGTCATAGATTGGGAAATTCATTGAGTTTTAGTCACACTCGGGGTAATTATCTTTTGTAACTATTGTCCACTTTTTTCATAATATCCATATATAATGAGTAGTGAAGAACATATTACGAGCATTACTATGCATTGAAATTAGCATGATATTAGAACATCTCAAACAAGTTTCATTTCTCAACAAAACAATTGAAATAACTAATTAAATAAGCATGGGGTTTAACATATGCACATGGTAATGAGGTTTATGGACAAGTTACAAGAGTATTTGGAAAACAAATTACTAACCTATAATCTTGTAATACTCTATTGTCAATAAATTGATCTGTGTGCTTTCTGCGTCACATTGTCTACACTTCAAATTTGAAAGGCTTTTTGCATCATTCTTGGTCGTTCGATTCGGGTTTAGTAGAAATATTAATTTTAATAATACTATAGTCTATAATTCACGGCAGAATCATTTAATTATCATCATTTTGGTTTGTTGACAAACCATATGATAGTTTTAGTTTCAAATTTGATTTGATTTATTTATCGGTCCGGTTTCGAACGATTTATTCATCGGTACGTTTTTCTTTTATGTTCAACCCCATATTATGAGAGCGTATATGAGATTTTTTTTATTTGTACATGAAATTTGTACATATTGGGCAATGGACACACGGGAAGAATGTGTACATGCTCTTAATTGCCTCTTACATAGGCACTCATGAAGCAATTGTGTAGAGAAAATGGTCAGATAGGGTCTCGAACTTATAAAAAAAATGTCAAATAAGGTCTTATATAGAGGTTCTGACTGGCCGGCGCCATTTGGGGCGGTTCCCGGTAGAATTTTTCGATGAAATTTTGTGAGAATCTTATTCATTAAGTCTAGTTTACTCATACCAAATTTCAGCTAAAATTTCAATTGGGAAGACATTCAAATAAATTCTTGAAGATAACTGCGCTTTTAACTGTGCACTTATCTTCAAGAATTTATTTGAATGTCTTCCCGATTGAAGTTTTAGCTGAAAATTGATATGAGTCAACTAGGCTTAATGGATAAGATGCTTAAAAAGTTTCATTGAAAGTTTCCACCGGGAACTGCCTCAAATGACGTCGACCGGACAGAACATCCTATATAAGACCTTATTTGACATTTTTTGTAAGTTCTATGCCCTATTTGACCATTTTACGTGCTAGGTATATAGTCCATATAAATTTTGTGTAAACGAAAAGAATGCGTAACTATATAATACGCTTTGATTTTAAACTAATTTCAAGTTCCGTTTAGCTGACTTAAACTTTACGGAGCAGAAAATACACAACTGGGCAGATACTGGGTGTGCTAGAATTGGTCGTCGTTTACATCATCACGGATATATAGATCCGCTGATATCAGAACTTTTATGCTGGTCTTCAAAAGCTGTGATTGTTCATCCATTTCCAGAGATTCGGCCTACTAATGCTGTCAGACTGAACGAAAATTTTGGCTGAATGGTCAATTATAAATCGAGAGAGGCAGAGAGATCGGTATGTTCATATCTTCTACACATCTTCAAATCAATTCTCCATCGTCTCAATGGATATCTCAGAATAATTTGGCGTTACATTATTTTTGTTGTTAATACGGAGTATGTTAAACGTAGTATATTGCTGTGAAAAAAGTTGTTGGATGTCATTGCAGAGGCGAAGAAGTTTCTATGGCGTTTCAGAATCAATTTTCACCAGAAATGGAGAGTTCGCAACATTTCTCAGAGCAGCACCTGTACGAGAGTTCGTCTGTCTTACGGAGTATACTTCCTGAACAGTTATCAACGCAGTCGACGCGGAACGGAATTCAGCCGGTAAACCACCATCACCAGCTACCGACGTGGCTCGACAGCGGAGTTAATCGGCAACAGGGCCAGTTCACCGGCATCGGCGATGGATCGGGAGCCATAGCAGAGGCGAATTTCCTCAATATACAAAGCAACTCGGATTCATCTTCCGCGGCGGCGGAGCACGCTTCGAGCCAGTGGCTTTCGAGAGCAATTGCACATAGAAACGTTAGGGACGACGAAGTGTCGGTGTCCAGAAATTCAATAATAGCCGCCGGGATTATGCACGGGCCGGCGAGTAATTTCAACGCAGTCGGCGACAGCGAAGACTACAAAAGCACAGGTTGCCACCGCGGAGGAGGAAGCGGTGAGGTGGCCGAGGGCGGAGTCGGTGGCGGTGGCTCAGGAAAGGAGAAATCGGAAATTGAAAGGTACAAAGCCGAAATATTAGGACATCCGTTATACGAGCAGTTGCTAGCAACCCATGTGGCGTGCTTGCGAATTGCGACGCCGGTGGATCAACTCCCGAGGATCGACTCTCAGCTTGCACAGACTCAACAAGTCATCATCCAGAAATACTCTGCCCAGATTGGAAATGGAAATCTCAATGGCGACAGAGAGCTCGATCAATTCATGGTAGATGCCTCATACTGTCATACATAATTCTTATTCCGTAATATCTAAGTTTTTTGCCAAGTTGTTCCAGCAGAAACACTTATGTTGAGCTTGTTCTTCAAGACTTTAACCATAGATAGATAGAAGTATCAATCAGGCCAAAGAAGAAACATGTCGCTATAAATTTTGAACTATTAACCAAAAACTTTTTTTTGACCATAACTATTAACCATAAACTTAAAAATCATACATTTTGATTGGGTGTGATAATTGAATTTAAATAGTGTCATATACTCACTATTTATTTTAATAATGTGATATGTAGTATCACATTTTTGTCATGGAAACTATTCAAGAGTCAAGTCACATAATTTTTTTATGAATTACTTGAATGAACAAACCCCACATATTAGTCATTTTTAGGAACCTGTTTTGTCACTCGATGGTTTTTGACTTATCAATCAACTTTTTCACAAAACACGTAATCTTTTGATTTCACGTGTTTAATTGTGTAGTAATAATAAAAAGTAAGATTGCAGTAATGAAGTTACATAGAAGATCATTTTAGTTATTTGCTGGGTTAACGACCCAATGAGGATTGACTCATAAACTCCTAAAGGCCTACCCTACGAACGTGCCGGTGCGGTGGGAAGGTGGACGAGCGTCGGATAAACCGTTATCCACCTCGGAACACTAACCAGTGCGGTACGGCCTCACGGCTTAAGCTGCCGGTGCAGTGGGAAGGTGGACGAAAGTCCCCATGAGGATTAAAACCGTTCTCCACCTCGGAACACTAACCATTGCGGTACGGCCTCAGGGCTTAAGCCACCGGTGCGGTGGGAAGGTGGAAGAGCGTCGGATAAACCGTTCTCCACCTCGGAACACTAACCAGTGTGGTACGGCCTCAGGGCCTAAGCTGCCGGTGCGGTGGGAAGGTGGACGAACGTCCCCAGGAGGATTAAAACTGTTCTCCACCTCGGAACAATAACAAGTGCGGTACGGCCTCAGGGCTTAAGCTGTCGGTGCGGTGGGAAGGTGGACGAACGTCCCCAAGAGGATAAACCGTTCTCCACCTCAGAACACTAACCAGTGTGGTACTGCCTCAGGGCTTAAGTTACTGATGCGGTGGGAAGGTGGACGAACTTCCTCAAGAGGATAAACCGTTCTCCATCTCGGAACACTAATAAGTGCGGTACGGCCTCAGGGCTTAAGCTGTCGGTGCGGTGGGAAGGTGGACGATCGTCCCCATGAGGATAAATGTGTTCTCCATCAAAGAACACTAACTAGTGCGGTACGGCCTCAGGGCTTAAACTGTCGGTGCGGTGGAAAAGTGGACGAACAAAACAAGGGAAACCCAAAAGTAGGAAAATTGGTCTTCGCCAAACACCGGCGAGAAGCCAAGGTAGAGGCTGAGGGTTTGCAGACAAGCATCTCCACTTAAGAGGCTGAGGGCCACAAGATGAGCCTCACGACCGAGGGCCTTGAGACGCCCAGCATATCCACATACTGAGCCTGCCAAGGCTGAGCATATCGAGATCACGACATTCCAGAGTACGGACGTCCCAAGAGACAGCGGAGAATACCCTCCCTCTAGATGGGATGACGTACGTCCCTAACGACTGTTTACATAGACGCTGGGTACGGAGATCCAGTGAATAAAGAAAGCAATCGTCGCGTCAGGGGCGTCATTTCCCTCTTCGGGATTCATCTCAGAGCGGAGTATACTCTTTTTCCTCCGTTAGGATTTTTTCCCACAGGGTTTTTTCCTCAACGGACTTTTTAATGAGGTACCCCTCTGCGTATGACTTGGGAGACGCCAAGGGTATTGGCTGGCGACGTATGTCGGATTCAATTCTACTTCCTTATGTCCCGCGCACGCTCAAAACATCAGAAGTGGGGACTTGTGTTGGGTTAATGGCCCAATGAGGATTGACCCATAAACCCATAAAGGCCTACCCTATGAACGTCCCAGGAAGGCTCAAGACAACGGGTTAGCCCCCTAGCGAGGTTCGTCCCCAACTTGACCAAAGAGAAGGGGACGTACGTCTCCAAGTGTAGGCAGGTACGTTATCCCAGAAGCATCACAAGACGCACGTCTCACAAGACTTTGCCCAACAGGAAACATGAGGCAAGCCCGTGGGGATGAACGTCCCCAGAACTCCAGAAGGCCCAGGCCAACGAGATACCTTTCCCCATACAGAGGACGTGCGTACCCTAGCGTGACAGGTTCCTTGGCCCAGGAGCAGAACGAAGCGCACGGCTCACAGGGAACATGAGGCAAGTTCATGGGGACGAACGTCCCCAGAAGGACTTGGGGACGAACGTCCCCACCCCTTTAGCGGACAGCCAAGATCCTGACGAGATTCTGCATTTAATACATAATATTTGGTGGTTGCGCATTTAATGCATAAGATTTGATGGTCGGGATCAAGCTAGACAAGCTCATGGGGATAAACGTGTCCACCCCTTGGCGTGAAGCCAAGATCCTGGTGGTCACGCATTTATTGCAGAGGATTTGGTGTTTGGAGTCAAGTCATCCACAATTGGGTTCAATGCATCTAACTATCCATTGGCGGTATAAATAGTAACATTTATTTCATTGTAAAGGGGGACAACTTAACACTCTAGTATTACAACATTCTTATTATCTCGTAGCATATCTCTGGACAAACGTCCTCACTTTGTAGAATAGCATATGTACGAACGGCCTAACGCCTTGTAAGTACGAACGGTTTCACCTTTGTAAGCACGAACGGCCTCACGCTTTTAACAGTGAAATATAACCAAGACTTCTTATTGGGCCTCATCTTACTTGTTTGATCCTACTCTCCTAAAATACCCACTTGAAATCCTTAGGTTGTGTGTTGGGCCTACGGGTTGAAGGGAATAAAACTCAACACTATTCTTTCATATAATTCTTTCTTTATTTTGTTAGTAAAATATACGTAGTATTTTAATTTTTTTTTCATAAATCAGCATAATCGATCAATCGAGTCACTTTAATCACAACTTCATAAATTTCAGCAAAATCAGTTTATACAACCGTTTTAGCATTACTAAATGGGCTCTGGTCCTCTAGATCTTATTGTTACTCCCTCCGTCCCATTGGAATGTTCCCGTTCGGTTTACGATGCTTGACTGACGATAAAGCAACTCGATCCCTCTTCACACTCCGCTTATTTTTAGTAAATAAAATTTACATATTCAGAAATTACATTAAAACCGCTACAAAGCCTGATCAAGAAAAGTTCAATTTGATAAAAATTTGATATATAAAGTAAAAGATTAGGAGTGACCTAAGTTGACCAATGAATAGTGAATGGAAACATTCCAACGGGACTGAGGGAGTATTTATTAATCATCTCGTTAGGAAAAACGTTTTTTCATGGAGTAGTTATTGACTTGCTTAATATACTCTTCTCGAGTCTCAGGCCAACATATTGCCTACTTTGGAGTGACATTACTATAAAAATGAATGACAATGATGGTGTAATATCCTCCCTATCGCATTAATTGCAACACTGCAATTTATACACTATTCATGTATTTTACTTTGACTAAATTTTATTTATTAATGTGTGTGAATTACGTAGTATTATTTTTGAAAAATGTTATTGAATTTATCTCATTACTAAGTTTCGTAATCTGTTTTTTAATTATTTTTTACTAATACAAAATTAAATATAATATTGGTCAAAGTTGTAGGTTGGGAAACGTAAAAAAATGAATGTTGAAACTAAAAAAGTACTTTTTGAAAATATGTTCAATATCATACGGCGTAATATATCTGTACATTTTTCAGTCAACTAAAAAGATACATAGTGCGTAGTACATTTTTAGTTTTTCAGTAAGTACTAGTGTTTCGTGATCCAATAGTTTTGTTTGATATTATAGGCTGGTGTAACTGATTAATGTTGAAAATAATAGATTTTGGTGTTAGAAAAAATGGGTAGAAAAAGTATTACCCAAACATCCCCTTTAATTTCTCTCATACGCTATGTTTGGCAGACATAAGTTTCTGCTTTTTAGCTTTTGTACTGTTCAAAAAATCTCTAAAGGCTTCTAGTTGTATGTTTGGCATGACAATTTTTAAGAGCTTTTCAAAAATCAAAAGATCTTTTTTGAAATGCTACAGAGAGTAGCATCTGAGAAAAGTCCGTGACTTTTAGTATTAATCAGTCTTAACACTTGTATACCAAACCAAACTAAATCAAACAATCAGTTTTTTACCAAACAACCACCAACTTTTCTTTTTAAGATCTTTTCAGTCACTAAAAGCTAACAGTTATTAAAAAGCTCATAAAAGTATCTTTTATGAGCTTCTAAGAATTTAAATCGTTAACCAACTCCTAAACATAATCATGCCAGGCCAATATACCAATAAATTAAGGCCCTCAAAGATTTTTGAATAAAACAAAAGCTAGAATCTACCTACCAAACAATACACACATGCAGTCTATTTAGTACTACGTTAATAAAACGTGCTATGTGCCTATGTGGTCTTAAGTGATGATTAAGTATTTATTATGTATTTATGTACCCTCACTCATTCATTCAATTTCAGACACACTACGTGTTGTTGCTTTGTTCTTTCAAAGAACAACTGCAGCAACATGTGCGAGTTCCTGCCATGGAAGCAGTAATGGGTTGCTGGGAAATCGAGCAGGCTTTACAAAGTTTAACAGGTAAAAACACTGCATTTGCATTTCGACAAAGTTTTAAAACCTTGACCTCATGTAATAATTGTTGTCTTGTTGGACTTGAAGGGTAGTCATATGATCGCCCAAATTTTGGAAAAAATGAAAATATATTTATGTATGAATTGAAGTTAATGGAATTAAAACATGAACACCAAGAAAATAATTGGCGTTTTGACCTACGAAGTACTCCGTATTAAAGTTACCAAACTTAGTTTTGGGTAAATGGACCAAGAAAATGAGTTCTTTTTTTTTTTGAAACTGAAACTCGCCTCTTCATATCATTAGTTTCAGGATCGTTACATCAATCAAAGGAAAATCATATCTGACATCAACTAACATCCAAAAATTACGATTGTAAACTCTATGATCAGATTTAGAGACGGTCACGCCTGAAAGAGCAACACGAATCGCTAACCACGAAGTGGGCTTGACATAACTATCCTTGTTCCCATAGATCCATATACTCCCAACGACATAAAAATAGGGTAAATTTTCAAACAAACTGGCATACCTAACAACATAGACGTAAATAAGAATCCAAATGACAAAATAATAAAAACTAATAGGATAATTAACTTTCACGGACCCTAGCACCTCGTTCAACCCATGACGGTGGTTCAGGAGGAGGCCACATCATCGGTACCACTCTAATTGATCCTCCATTGTCAATCGAGATATGGCCTACTTGAACCCCGTCCAACTCTCCTCGTCCCGCACTCGTAGCAAAACCGCCGCTAGCGGTTATCTTCTTCACCGCCAATCTCTGTGATGCATTCATCTCTCCAATCCAGACTCTGCCGCGAACGATCTGCAAAAGAAGAGAAGAGTAATACGAGCAGTTTCGTGCTCAACTTTGCCGAAGTAGATGGATCGCCATACTTGCACAAAACTCAAACCCTAATCACTAGGGAGACGACCGCCGCTGTGGAGTTTTATGAGTTCAAAATTTAAATAATCTAAAGTACATTTTCCTTTTAGAATGTTTTTAGTAAGACTGATTCCAGATTTCTAGCCCTAGATCCGATTTAAACAAATTAAATCAAACTTCGATAATATAGAATACACATACAATAAACATATCTATGTAAAAATCCCATTTTACCTGTCCTACTTCCCTTTTTTGGATTGTCTCAAAATAAGTGTCTCGTTTCCCTTTTTAAAAAAATATGTGATCTACAAGATTTCACTTTATTATACTTAAATCTCAACCACGTTCAAATGCTTCATTAATAATTGCGTCAAGTCAATTATTGGTACATGCATCTATTATGCGACTAATAGACCATTTGGTTACAATCAAATCTGATAATTATTTTGATGCATGAGTGCTTATGCTTTATCTAGGAGTGTCTCCCGGAGAAGGAACAGGAGCAACAATGACTGATGATGATGAAGGCCAAGTGGATGGCAATCCCAACTTGTATGATGGTACGGACGGCTTTGGATTTGGCCCTCTTGTCCCTACGGAGAATGAAAGGTCTTTGATGGAGTGTGTAAGGCATGAACTCAAATATGAACTAAAACAGGTAAAAATGACTTCTGGAAAGTTTAAGTAAATGACCGAATTAAAAAATTGCAAAAAAGCACGTGTGTTTAAGAAATAACTCCAATCTGTTTTTAGAGAAAATTAACTTTTAATCGTTTTGTAATTGAGTAATAACAATGCCACATAATTGAGAAATCATTTCAATCAATATGTAACGAAAGTGACGTGCAATCACTTTTTGATCGACCATTCAACCATCTAAAATCTGTACCAAACTATCAAGCTACTTTATAATTGGTTCCGTTCATATATGGTTTACTTAATTGTTTCATACAAATATATAGTTCTTGATGAATTAAATATTCAATATATGTGGAAAAGTGGTCACGCAATATTTCTAGGCTTAATCAAAATAGGGCTAAAAGTCACTCACTCTGCACAAATATGATCATAAAATAAACCATGTTTTATAAAACTAATTATGTGTGTCTTAGACAAATATACCCTTATAGCTATTGAAATTTTTAATTCATAATAAAATAATAAAAATTCGTAAAAAATACGAAAATATTAATAAAAATATTTCGATAATAATTTATTTTTTTCAAAAAATAAAAAAAATAAAAAACAAATAAAAAACTCAAAAAATAAAATAAAATTCGCCGCCTCTGCCGCCTCTGCACCACCACCTCCAGTCACTGGGCGGAAAAATGCCAAATTCATTACGAATGCCATATTTATGGGAGAAAACAATGAAAATGTTGGCATTCTAAAAGAGAAATATGCCATGTTTTTTATATTTTAAAAAAAATGACAGTTTTTAGGAAAAATGACATTTTTTCACCGGCCGGAGATGGTGGTGCAGGGAGGTAGTACAGGCAGTGGGAAATGCATCCATATTTTTTTAATTTTTTATGAAGTTTTACTATTTTTTATTAATTGAAAAAAAATTACAAAATTTATCTTTTTAAATTTTTTATTTTATAAATTTTTTAATTATTTTTCTACGAATTTTTGAATTTTTTTCGAATTTTTTATGAATTAAACATTTAATTAACTCATATTTAAAGGAAGGGTAAGAATGTAATGAAAAAATAGATATGTTTCCAATAGGACTAATATGGTCCTATTTTGAAAAGAAAAATATAGTAAGTCATATTTTGAGTTTTTGCAATAGTTTTAGTCCTATTTGGAATAATTTCTAATATTTCTATCGCGTGTTGTAATACGGAGTACTTCATATTACGATTGATAAAAGAGCTATTCAAACACTTAATTAAGAAGAGATTTAAAGGAAATGGAGAAGAGACGATGAAAATACAGTTTGTATGAGTGAATATCCAATTAGGTTTACAAGATCTCTCAAGAGAAGTATATATGAAGTATATATCTATAGAAAAAAGCGGATCAAGCCACTAATATGATTCTAACAGCAGGTCCAATTACGCAAAAGACTAGTTTAATAGATACAAAGTACTACGTATAATAAAATGTACAATAATATAAATGATGTCCTTTAAACGTTTGTGGACCGTTGTTCAGTCTCAAAAGTCGTAATACCTGGAGTCCGAGTATCATGTGATTTTGAATGTTATTGTTACACTCTGTGTAATTTCTTTGATATCTATTAATTCTCATATTTTGCATTATGTTTTCCTTTCCGGTTAACAAGACATGAATGGGGGCAATAAAGAGTTCCAGCCACCCAAATTTATTTTATTACTGCATGCACAATGAATTTTTAAACGAGAATGGAGTACTCAACTAGAGATAATATGCTTTGAACTTTCTTTTAACTAATACTACGCACAAAATTGTAAAGTTCAAACAAATATTCCAAATTCCAACCATATAATATAATTTTGTCCATATTTTTTATATGAATATTGTCTTCCCTAACCGATTTTCTATGCCATAGGGTTATAAGGAGAAGATAGTAGACATTAGGGAAGAAATTCTACGCAAGAGAAGGGCGGGGAAACTCCCTGGAGATACCACGTCTGTCTTGAAAGCTTGGTGGCAATCACACGCCAAGTGGCCATATCCAACCGTAAGTCTACAAATGTTCTTTTGACCATTTCAAATGGCTCGATCAAGATCAGACCATTATGATTTATATCTTAGTATTTCCTACATCAATAAAATATGGAATGGTATCAGAGTCAAATCAATTCATATATAATCATGCAAAATGACATGAGTTCCTATAAAAATGACGATATTACTGGAGGTTAATGTCGGCTTGATTTTGATGAATTAAGTGTTTATTGAAGAGGGGTAGTGTTAAAGTATTCTAGTCTTAAAACAAAAATGTTGCAAGTGGTAAGCATTTACCCATGATGACTGTTGAATTGTACTTGTGTTTTTTGGTAGGAGGAGGACAAAGCTCTATTAGTGGAGGAAACAGGGTTGCACCTAAAGCAGATAAATAACTGGTTCATCAACCAGCGAAAGAGGAATTGGCACAACCACTCTTCATCTTCCACAACTTTGAAGAGCAAACGCAAAAAGTAGAATATAAAACACGAATCAAGTTGGAGTCTTTGGCAATTGTTGTAGTAAATATTATACCATTTATAGAGTAAATAAATGAAAAGAAAAGGGTGAATCCCTAGCTTGACATGGTTTCCACTTCAACTAGTTCAATAGTTCACTACTACCTCCGTTCCTATTAAAACTTCCAAATAGGTTTGACACAGAGTTTAAGATAGTGGGTATTGTGTGGTGGAGAGTTGTGCAGAGGAGAGAGAAATGTGTAAGAAATGTTGTGAACCACAAATTCTTTACTAAAAAGGGAAAGTGGAAGTTTTAATTGGAACGAACGAAAAAGGAAAGTTGGAAGTTTATTTAGGAACGGAGGGAGTATCTTTTTGGTATAGTGTAGTCGGCATAGCCAATGACACAAGTTAGACGGAACTGATTTAAACGAATTTGTTCAGACATAATTTCCACATAAACCTTTACACACAAAATACAAATATTTTTCAAATTTGCGGTGATCAGACATCGACCGCCCCCCTCTTAGCTACGCCGTGGACGTAGTAAAAAGATGATCATTTCTTACGGGTTCAAGTCGCTAAATCAAAAGGATATTTTTGAATCTTGTCCCTTTTGTCGTAATATAACATTCAAATCACTTAGAAATCAATACAATTCGAAAGAGAAAAATAAAATAACGTAATAACTAGATAAACAGCTTATCAAAAGCTTAACCATACGATGTTTGCAGCTTTTGTTAACTACGCTGGAGAAGAAAAATAGAGTAACAAGTTCTTTCAAAATGAAGAACGAGAACAAGATGCATCCAATTTACTATCTAATATAAGTAGAAGTTATTGGACTTGATGATATATTATTTAGAAACTTCATGGTAGAAAAAGGACTAATCAAACATAATAACTTAAGTTAATTAGATTTTTCGAAATATGAAAGTATAACAAACCTAATAATAATAATAACTTAAGTTAGATTTTCCGAAATACTTAGTATGAAAGTATAATAGAAACTTCTATGTCATTTTGATACACATGACATTTTGGTACACATGCATGAATTGTAAAATGGTAGAAAATGTGACAAACTAGCTTCTATGTCATTTCAAGTATAATATTCTGCCTAAGAGATTTTGATCAAATTTATTATTTTTGTTGTGTTTTTTTACCTCACAATCAAATAATAGTATAAGAATCTGATATTTTCCAAGTTGTGATATACGGGTGAATGTTTCCGTGTATAGTTTCATACGGTTTTGTTAATGTAGTGTCGTATTTCACAGACATACGTAGACCGAAAAATGTATTATGTACTCTGTAGTATATAGGGAGTATCATATTATACTACATATGTAATACACATATATTAATGTGCATTATATATTTCGCTTTTCAAAGATACAATTTAAAGTGAACTTTAATATATAGAATGTACTAACACCATATATAGTACGGAGTAATATACTATCTGTAACACATAGTCAGTCATATACAGAGCATATAACATACTCCCTCCATCCCAAATTGTTTTGAAAATTCAACATTTTTTGGTCAACCAATAATTAAAGTCAATCCTCTTTGTCGATCAATAATTCAATTTTTAATAATTAAAATTTACATATTCAGAAACTACATTGAAATCTCTTCAAAGTTGCAAAGTCCAAATTAGAATATAATTAAAAATTGAGATCCTAATTAAGCGAATAAAATGAAACTGTTTGACAAAAAAATCAAATTTGTAAATCAATTTGGGATGGAGGTAGTACTATATAAAACAAACTCTTAATGAATTTCTTGGTAGTTATTAGTCACCAAGACATTTTCTACTGTTTGAACACCCTTTTTGTTAATCTTGGCTTTGAACGATATCAAATGTGCTCTTTTAACCGCTGCATGGGTTCAGACTCCCTGCACAAAAATATCCATTGTTAACTTGTTTGATGAGATACTATTGTTTACTACTGCTTTTAGGAAGGCTATGGTAATATATAGCAAAAAATATTTTCTGTAAACCAAGTTTAGATAACAAACACAAGATTTGGACCTATTTTAAATCCATAGGGAGTATTATGTATCCAATTTATACTCACTAAGAACACATTCTTTAAAACACCTTTTTGAAAATATAGGTCAAATATTCAAAACATTAACGTATTTCATACCTTAGAACATTGAGCCCATGTGCTCCTTTAAAATTGGCTGGTATCTCAAAAATCGGCACAACCCTCACTCATAGAGCCCATGTGGCTCCAAGTTGTGGTATTCACTTGTAACTCGATCCATATTTATAGTAGACGGGCACAGTTTTCCTTCCGATTCGTGAATCTTTTTATCAAATGAACAATATTGTGTAATCATGTCGTTACAATAGTTTGAATAATAAATACTCCGTAAATACGGGTATTTGATTGTACAATTCCCTTGGTAGATAAACACTTCGGAAAGGGAAGAAGAAATTTAATCTATAGGTACATGAATGAACAACTTTAACATGTTGCATTTAATTCTGATTTGATTGACAAATCCAAATAAAAGATTCCAAGTTGTATTCTTTACTATTAAAGTATAAAAGATTTTTTTGTTAAACCCAAGAAAAAGATCTTCGGTGTACAACGTGTTCAATACATGGAGTAGTTCTTGAAGGCCTCATCAACCAATCAAATCACAATACGTAGTACGGAGTATTAGTTTGAACAAAAGTTACTGCAAACAATTAATTGAGCAAAAATGCACATGTATTATCTCTTGGTCAAGTACTGAAGTACCATGCTCGATTACATAGAACCTGAACCGTGTTGGACCATCACTTTGGGAGGGGGGGGGGGGGGGGGGGGGGGAATGTGGCTGATTCTCCACTCCCTTTTGTATATAGTAGGATGGTTCAGAAGGGAGCGCAAGACAAGACATTGTCCAACAGATACCCTTTTAAACTGGACTCAGGACAAAACGGGGTAGTCCGAGACATCCCAAAAATCTATGGTGAAAAAATTACAACATAAAAACACAGCAAATCGATTTGCAAAAAGAAAAAACAATAGCACATAAAACTTCATGAAAAAATAATAACAACACATTAAGAATTTTGCAGAATAAATGCAACAAAAAAAATGTAAATTTAAAGGATAGTTGCGAGAAACAAAAATTTGGTGCAAAAATTTTTACTTTAACACACACACAATACTACCAAGAAATTTGGAAACAAAAACTATTAAAATAATGTTATGAGATGTGACGTGAAACGTTTGGGAGTAAAAATGAGTTTCTTTTTGGAAGATAGTTCATACGTAGTACTTGGTAATTTAGAGTCCTTGAAGGTGTTCTGCATGTTAGGTTGTTTTTACTTGGACTGAATTTTTTTATCTGATCTGGTATAGTCTAAAGTGGGTTGGTTTGGTAGATATCTGATCTCTGTGTATTTTATAACTATCGAGGTCTGATATGGTTTGTTTAAGTCTGGCCTGATCTAATTTGGTATGGTCTGGGACTGAAATAAGTCGAAGTAAAACATCATTGGACAACTAATACCTAATACTCATTGATATTTGGATTGTGTAGTAAAATGAATATTACCATTATTTGGACTACTTACTGAATTGGTGATAGACTCGCTAACGGACGTACTACAACATACAATTATGGATTCAACACAATGGAACATAACGTGACATATTATACTTGTCCGGTTGTTCCGGTCCCATTTTGTTTTGAAACGATTTAGATCGGTACGAGACAAGAAATAGTTTGTACCAAATACAATGGGACAACTTTGGAACGGAACCGGAATGTTCTGAAACGGACCAATGAGATCAGATCTTTTGCCTAATCCCAGGGTAGATAGTGGATAAAGAGAGAGTAAATAAAGAGAAAGAGGGGAGAGAATGGGTAAATGAGATGGATAGGAGTGATATATCGTGTACACAACAACAAGATGCATTTTAATTTTTATGAGTTTCTACGGATTATAATTTTAATTACTTACTTTCTCCATTCTTGAATATCGCACATGTTCGTTATAAATTTGTCTATTCCCTCCCTTAAAACTTTATTGCCTTCCCTTTTAATCAAATAATTTATGATTCCTATTTTTTCGCTCTCTTTTGCACAAATCTAAACGACACGATTTTTCCTTTATAATTCTCATGTTGATAAAGTTTATTAAAGTTATAAGGGACAAACAAATTATCTTTCTCTTGAGATATACTAGTATAACACCTGGCGATGCACATCATGGACGTCGTTTGAGATTGAATTAGATGCAACAGGAGCGATTTCGGAAATTCTCAGCGGATCGAGTTTATCCTTGGTGGGATTATCAAGAGACGGCATTATAGACTTGGCAAAATCTTTTTCGCGAATTTCATTTTGTCATATTAAGCCATCAACGAATAAGCCAACCCATTTGTTAGCTAAAGTGGCTTGTTTTTTGTCTGATTCGTAGTCTTGGATTTATTCTCCTCCTTTTTTAATTGTATCGGATTTGGCCAATAATTAAGTCTATTTCTTTCAAAAAAATATAAAAAAAGGTGTTAATGAAGATCGTCACCTACTCCTCCCCGCTAAGACCAACAACAATAAAGCAGGGACCAAACCTGGACAAATTAGGAATGTTCAATCAAATTGGTGGGAAATCATTGTCCTGAATCGAATTCTCATCTGAAGCTTTTGTGTTCGAGCTTCAAAACTTGGATATTTTTCATTCACAAATTCTGGGAAAATGCGAATTTGCATAAGAGCTAATTAAAAAGAGAATGTTTTGACTGTGTTTGAATCTCAATCAATAGTTCACGCAGCTTTAGCTGAAGAATATTGGGCAAACTATGGAAACACTAATCAACTTTTTGGAAGATACGAGGGCGTAAGTGGACAAATAATCATCGTCAAAACAAAAATGTTGCCCTCTTGGTGTATCATGTTTTGATTGATCAATCATTTTCCAAACAACTCCTATTTGTATTCCTAAACTTCTGTGCTTTCATAAATACTATAAGTCAAATTTAAGAGAATTTAGTAAAAGTTTAGCAAAAATTTAGCAAAAAAACAACAATTTAGCAAAAATTTTGCAACAAATAAATCTAATACTACACTATGTACGCAACAATTTCTACTCCTATAATCTCTCACACATCATTTG